GTTGATGGTGATGCCACCCTTCCTTTAATGAGTTTTACAAAAAGTTAAACATGTTCATAAATGATCAAAAGCATATCACTGTTTGGCTATATTTAAAAACACTTGAAGTTCATCCATCAATTTAATAGAGTCTAAAGATTAACAATATGTAATCTAGAGCAAGCAACATTCTCAGGAAAGTCCAATGCAAACTAAACTTGAGGTATCTAGTCACGGCTATGTCAGTCAATATCAAGCAGGTACTTGCTGGCATGGTACCCATTCTTTAAGATATACCTGATGATCTTTAATGGAAATTTACATGCTCTAATTGGATTAAAGGATTTATGTGGTTTATTCTTCCCCATCTTGCTTATTCTTCAGATGGTCTAAGACTTTAGACCAGAATGAAAGGATTCTTGTTTTAATTGATGGTTTTTAAACTCCAAGAAATATGTATTCATCTAAAATAATTTTAGCTCTTTGTAGGATAAACCAGAGGAATCTAAAGAGTTCTTTTCTTATTATTTTCTTTTCCTCACTCCTTCCACCTTCCTCCTCCACCTCCTCTTCTCCTTCTCCTTCTTCTACCTCCTCTTCTTCTTCTTGCATAGTTCTGGCACACAAAACTGGCAGTTACATATTTTTTGCCAACATTGTATTTTGCTCTGTTCTCTTTAAGAGTAAGAGTCCAAATGTTTGATCATTAACATCATTTGAAACATGACCTTTTATCTAGGTGAGCTGGACATTTGCTTTCTGGATGACCACATCGTGTGAATGATTACCATCATATAACTCCACCGTCAAACCTAAGAAAGACCATGAGTGGGATATAAAAATGACATCCATGGGAATACATATCACAGCAAAATGCAGTTTAATAGCATTCAAAGCTAAAATAGTGCAGCAGAATTCTTCATTTCCTCAATTTTCATCCCATACAATTGACATTTTATGGTGCAGGCAGCTACTTGTCCCAAGGGAAACAGTTGTGAGTTGGACAATGACTCATTTGTCTTTCAAAGACCTATTCAAATAAGCACAATTCTCATTGCAGGAAACCTGAGAATTCTTATTATGTTCTACACCAGGGATGTCAAATATTTCAGCGATTGAAGCTTAACATAAAGAGAAGCTTGCCTAATTAGTTTAACTATATTCTGAGGCAAACTTTCACCTAAGGATAATTTTCACCTGGGATTTTCAAAAGTATTTAATTTCTCAATATTTATTTATTTATTTATTTTATAAGGCTTAATGAAAAAACAGACATATATATGATAAAGTAGGCATTCTATTTTGAAAACAATATTTTTATATTGATTTATTTTGAATGGCATAATTGTAGGCATTAATTATTTTTAATTTTGAACACAGTTTCAATTTAGGAAGCTCACTGGTAATATCGCATAATTATTTATGTTTCTTATATTGCTTATATTTTTTTTTCAAGGCTGGGTCTAATATAGTACAAAGTGATCTCAAACTTGCTATATACCAAGGACAACATCAAACTTCTAATCCTCCCACTTCTACCTCCCAAATGCTAATATGATGGAAGTACATCACCACACTTGGCTTTTATTTTTTTTAATACGGTATTATGTATCAAACACAGAACCTTCTGCATGTTAACCACTCAACCAGCTGAGCTACATCTCCTTCCCATCCCTTATATTTTCTAATGAGAGCATAAAAAATTTAAGAAAAAGAAAAACTTTTATAGAGTCTAAAATTTAGGTTAGTAAAATTAATTTTGAACTGTAAAGTTGGAGTTTTAAATTAAAAGTTATTTTAACTGCTACATAAAAATAAAATTAAACATATTTATGGGGCACTAAGTGATTTTCAAAGTATGTTTTTTGAATAATTTGTGAGAAGATTAAAAATATTTCCTTAATTCTCTGAAATATATAGTATATTATCATCCTTAGCCACACGTTTGTGTTATAACACATTGGAACTCCAACTTAGCACTCACTAGTCTGCCTTCTTTTATCTTCTATTCATTTGCTCCTTAGACTCTGAAAACTACTATTCTCGCAATTCTGTAAAATCATGCATTTTTATTTAATAGTATTTGTTTTTGGTTTACATACCAACTACAGTTCTCCTCCCTCTCCTCCTCCTGTCTCCCACCTTCCCACTACCCAACCACCATCCATGCCTCAAGAGGATAAGGATTCCCTTTGGGAGTCACCAATGTCTGACATATCAAGTTGAGTAAGATATACTTCCATAGGTAATGGGCTCCAAAAAGTAGATGGAGCCATTATGGAGTTAGGGAGAATATCATGGATTTTTTTAGTTAAAGAAGTTAAGGGAGGAATAAATACTATGAATTTTAAGTCCTGATTCATATGCATATGTCTTCTTTTTGTTGTTATTGTTTCAGATAAATGCATATTCAATTAAGAAGAAGTAATACCCCTCAAATTTATAGGATTGTTTCTTCTAGATAAAATGGTTAGAATTAAAAACTTAATGTCAGAAGAAAGTATGTAATTCCATAAATGAAGGAAAGTGGCTGTGGTCAAACTCATTTAAAATTGTAGATTTGGACTACAATTGAAGATTTGGAATAAATCAGAAAGTAGTATAAATAATGATAGCATATTCATTTAAAATGTATATTCTTCATGTCTATATTTATTAATTACTAAGTATACCTAAACCAAGAAACATAATCTTTTCTGGTAATATATTTTTACATAGCAGTGAGAAAGTTGGTCAATAATGACATTATTATTATTATATTATAATATAATAGATATATATCATTATAATGATATAATTATTAAGACAATAACATGTAGTATATTAGAGATATAAAAATTGTTCCCTAGACTTATAACTTTGTCTCTTAATGCTGTTAACTCAGTGGTTTTAATTGTACTTAAACAACAAAAGATGTTCATCTAAGGCTCAGTTATGATCTAGGCAACTGTTAAGTTTTCAGTATTTCAGAATTAATTTCAATAATCTATAATACATTCAGTAACATGCAAATTTCAACTATCAAGATCAGATTTGGAAGCCCTGAGTTCAGTGGAAACTGCCATTTTTCTCTTAGCTAAGTGCCTACACGTTTGTATGAAGAATGATTTGGCCAATATCCCTAGTTCTGGACATAGACAATATTGCATGATTTTCAGAGTTAATTGATATTTCCTCTGAAGTTGTCAATGTTGACAATACTAGTTCACATAAATATATACAATAAAATGGCAGAGTATAGTGTTCATTTTATGTATGGAGTTCACTCCACGAGATTTTTTTTTTTTTTTATGTTTTGAGACTGGTCTCTCTTTGTAGTCCAAATGTCCTAGAATTCCCTATTGAGGCCAGACTATTCTCGTCTGCCTGATGAGAGGTGGGACTAAAGGAATGTGCTGCCATGCCTGTCCATTTAATGATTTTTAATATGAAAGTCCAGTTATTAGCTCAAACTATAATAAAAAACGTCAACATACTAATACCACAACTCAGGGATATAGTAATTTGATCCACTTATATGGTGAAGAATGATGTCAGGAAAACATGTCTTTCTTTTCCATAATTAAACAATTCTTTTTACATGAGCAGTTATCTTTGCATGTACAGTAAAAATAAACTATACTTTAAAACATTCCATAGGGTCTAAGATCTGCACCATGTATTATCATGGCATGTCCAATGAGATGTGCATATGTTTCTGTTTTTCAGTTCTAGGCTCTGGTGAAGTAGTGTGATACTGTATGGATGAGCCCAACCAGAAGCACCTTGAATTCATTATGTATTTGATTTTCAATTTCTTTTGGTTGTTATGTGTTAGACATCTTCTATTGGGAAGGCAAGGTTTTCACTACTTTTACACTTGGTTATGGACTCTATATGATCTAGTTTAGAAAATTTTGACCTAGATGTTAGGTTTATCTGTACACACAGATCAGGTTTAAAAGAAGATGTATTTATATTTTAATCATGGGGCACATAATTAATATAAACCCTTTGCTACTTGATGCAGGCAGAATTGTGCCCTCTACAAATTTTCCTAGGTTCAATTCTGATCATTTGTCTGATGGTATTTGTTGTGAGGGCTTGCAAGGCCATTCATTGACTTTTAGATCAGTGCATAGAGATGAAGTCTCTGCGGGTGGAATTGATGTGCTCCTGAGAAGAGGCCAGAAAGCTTGTACTCTCTCCTGTTACTCGGTGATGACACAGAAAAAGACTGCAGTCCCAGAGTACAAATATTTACTTTCTTCTTCTTCCTCCTCCTTTTCTTTCTTCCAGATACCAAATAAGAACACCATTGTCTCTAGTTCAACAATGGCCTTTCCTCATCTTTCTCTTTCTCCAGGCTTCCTGGCTCAAGCAATAGTAATACTAATATACAATATTCCTATTATTAAAACTCTTCTGTAGAATCTTGTAAGTTTTAGAAAATGTAAACATTATTTGTCTTTGCACCGTATTTTTATTCTGTCTATGCACTTTTATTTCAAATGCTACAATCTCTTGGTAAGATATTTTGGTTATTTTGTTACCAACAACATTTTATCAATCTCCACAGCATCCTGTGGACACTCAGATTCCCTCACTTGCTAGCCCTCGTGTTTATAAGACAACAATTTCTCTAGATAGCACTAATTCCTTCCCTTTCATTGCACTGCTGACTTTCTTTTTTTTTTTCAAGTAGTAACTACCGATTTATTTAAAGTCATTATTAGCATTTAGAAATAATGAGAAGTTACAGGTGATTATTATTCCACACGGACGCTGGGAACCAAACTCAGTCCTCTGCAAGAGAACCACACCGATTCTTAAGCACAGAGACATAGCTCCAACTCCATAAAGGACGTTTCTTTGCTAATGTTACACAACTGCCCAACAATGACCGTATAGTAGGTGATATCTAGAGGACCATTTGTTCAGTAGTTAGTTGAATTGATTTCTCTGATGTGAAATCATTTTGTTTGAATTCTTTCCTTTTTAATCCAAACTAGGAATGTGTAACTTTTCTCCTAAAAGGTAAATTTTTCTCTTCCTTTCCTTTTTTTTTTTTTTTCACAAATTGCTTTCTCTGATTTTCTTGTCAGCTTGCTTTAAAGATATCCACGTGTTCAATATGCTCGCTCGAAGTTTGGCCCACACCAAATGATTGTTTAGCCCAAATATCTGAGCAGCAAACTGGGCGGATCCTTCTGGAGAGAGTATAGTTGAACAGCCAAGACCACTGGGCCATCGAAGAGATGACCACACATCCTGGGCACCCCAATCTGGTGTGATGGGAGGACAGCTGATAACTGGATATGCAGTGTTACCAGACATCACTGGGCCCAAACCATTGCTTCTGCCTGCCACTGCGACAAATACAGTAGGTATGCCATCCCCTTCATACTCTGCTTTAATCCTCAACGTCTCATCTGGTCCTTTATGGGCAGATGTCACTCGGAGTTCACATGGAATCCCGAAGTTTCCACAAGCCTTCTTAATTTTCTCACGGTGACCAAGGTCAGAAGCTGAACCCATCAGCACTACAACACTGCACTGACTGTCTGACTTCAGAAGCAACTCCACTCGATCTGCAACCCACTCAAAGTTTTTCTTTACCATCTGGAGTCCTTCCGGAGTTACTTCCTTGAGGTCACGGTAAGACTGTTTGTCTTTCTGCTGGCTCCGATCTCCCGATGGCCAGAGTCTCCAAGAATCATTATCAATTACATCAGCAAGAACAATCTCTTTGGTAGTTACATCAACACCAAATTCAATCTTCATATCAACCAGCGTGCAGTTCTGGGGCAGCCAGGCTTTCTCCAGTATTTCAAAAATAGCTTGTGTAGCATGACTCATGATGTCCACTTCAGTCTGGCCTATAGCAAGTCCAGCAAAACAAAACTGTGCAGCAATGAGTTGCTCCTCAGACCACTGTGGATCATTATTGGCATCATCCTTGAAGAACATCTCCACTTTTGGTGGGTAAAACTTATACCCCTCTTTTACACCAGGGTTCCTTTTGAGAAAAGATCCAGTTGCTATTCTTCGGCACACCCATTCAATTGGAATCATTTCACATTGGGGTGCAATGAAAGCAGTCTCCCCACATTTCTTGGTGAAAGCAGTCTTGATACCGGCATCCTGTAACAGCTGAAAAATACAGCTTGTGATCTTATTGGAGATTGCAGCTTTGCCTTCCAGTTGGTTCTTTCTGGCTGCATTTCCCGCTGTAATCTGGTCCTTGGACTGCAGGAGGACTCTTCCCGGACTATCTAACAATTCATAGACTTCTTTTGTCTTACCCTCATAGAGTTTTCTCCCAATGTTCAGTAGCTCAGCTGTCGCCATGATTCTAGGTGGGATGAAGGTGCAAGACAACGCGGGAAAGTGAAGAAGCGGTCCGTAAAACAAGAACCTCCAGAGGCTCAGGAGGGCGGGGAAGGGCCCACTGCTGACTTTCTTAAGGTGTTATTTCCAAATCTTGTTAATCTTCATTGGTTACTCTTTTCATCACTTCCATGTTTCTTTCATTATACTTATTAAAATGGGAAAGTTCAATTACCTGTGTGATTAATTATTTAATGCCTGGCAAACACAACCTTATTTGATGCCATATTCTTATCCCAAGGAAACTAATCATAAGTCCATTCGTAAGGGAAACAGCAATATCTGCTCAGCACTTGATGAAAGATGAATGTCTACTAGTATTTGCAATGAACATAGATACATTCTATTTTAAGGAGACCATCTCGTAGCTAGGTGAGTGCCGAATGAGGGTGAGAGAAAGGGAGTGCTGTTGGCTGATGAATGTAAGCATCCATTAAGGTGTCTCTAAAGCACCATCATGGACAGGAACATGTGCGAGAACAACTGGTACAATGGTAACCTCAGAGTGCACTCAGAAGTTTGCTGTCCACGAGGCCATAAAACACAGAGATTCACAGAGGAATTTAAAACTTTATTGAATCAATTTTAAGTAACACAGAAAGAAACTCGGGGCGAGGATACACTGTTAATGCACAGTGTAGTTAGCAAGGGGAGTACAGACCACACACTTTACTTTTGGAAATATGCCTACATTAAAATTTTCATGTGGATGTTAATATTCCTTCTCCTTTCTAGTGGTAAACCCACAGGCAGAAGGCACCTTGGGCTCATAGTACAACTTTCCTGTACAAAGTAATTGAAAAAAAATATGTGAATTATAGTTACAGCAAATTCAGGTAATATCTGGATTTCATATGTTTCTTGGTTTAAGAGCACACAGAATAAGAATGGACTTTATCTGTAGATTATTCAATTTAAAATTCGCAACTCTTAGGTATTATGTATGTTTCTAATACCTATAACATTGCAGCACCTTTTGTGTGTTTAATCTCGGGGACAGGGTTTTTAGTCTTCTCTGTTTTACACATATGCACTTTACTTGACAAAAAAGTTTTTTTTAATTTTTATTTGTTTATTAAAGATTTCTGATTCTTCCCCGCCACTGCCTCCCATTTCCCTCCCCCTCCCCCAGTCAAGTCCCTCTCCCTCCTCAGCCTAAAGAGCAATCAAGTTTCCCTCCCCAGTGGGAAGTCCAAGGACCACCCACCTCCATCCAGGCTAGTAAGGTGAGCATCCAAACTGCCTAGGCTCCCACAAAACCAGTTCGTGCAGTAGGAACAAAAACCCATTGCCATTGTTCTTGAGTTCTCAGTAGTCCTCATTGTCTGCTATGTTCAGCGAGTCCGGTTTTATCCCAGGCTTTTTCAGATCCAGGCCAGCTGGCCTTGGTGAGTTCCCGCTAGAACATTCCCATTGTTTCAGTGTGTGGGTGCACCCCTTGCGGTCCTGAGTTCCTTGCTCGTGCTCTCTCTCCTTCTGCTCCTGATTTGGACCTTGAGATTTCTGTCCGGTGCTCCAATGTGGGTCTCTGTCTCCTTTCATTGCCTGATGAAGGTTAATATTACGGATGCTTTACATATTTGAGTGCAGGCACTTAACGAACCCAATAACTTCTGTCTGAGTTATATAAAATGTTGACTCACTGGTGTCTTTTACACATTTCAAACATCTTAAAAATGTTCGCCGGTGGTCTCTATACTGCACTCATTCTGCTAATAGCACTGAACATTCTCAAAAGAAAGTGCCCATTTTGAGAGGATAAGCCACATATCTAACATGGGGCTATTCTGTTGTAGTACTACTAAGATAGTCTAGTAAATGTATTTGGGTGAACAGTGAAGGAGGCCAATGGGCTAATGATAGTTTTTTAGGTTAAACAATTGATTTTAGATCAGGATTATGTTATTTAAACCCATGATCATGAATGAGAGCACCCCAGTGAAAGCTTTTGCTGGAACTAAATGAAATCGAAATTAAAGAATTGGCTAGGAAGCATCCCTTCTGTAAAATACAGAGAAGAAATCAACGAGTAAGAGATATTAGAAAAATTGCCCTTAAGAAAAGTCTAATGTAAATAATATAGTGGTGATATTTGCTACAATAGAGACTTACACCCTTCCTGGTGAAAATGCAAAGCAGTTTCAGCACTTAGCGGGAAGAGATAGATGGGAGCAGAAGGGTGTCATTAAAGGGCAATCAGAAAATGAGAGCATACTCAGGAAGGGACAGCACAAGCATGTTGTCCTTAGATGGAACTATTCTCTGCTTTCTAGCATGTCCTGTGGCGTTTCTACCCTTCACAGTGGATAAATAAATTATGCACCCAAAGATGATGGACAGCAAGTATTGGTTTTTCATTCTCGGCAGTGATATTTTGTCTTTAGAAATGGCTGAACTAAAAGCAATGTAGAGCGCGCATTAGACAGTTTATGATGACTTTTACAGAGGACTTCCCGTGATTCCCTAAATGTAGGACCCTGTCCATTTTTGCAACTAGGAGATTGATTATTTTAAGAGCGGATTGAGACATTGTTGGTAACTGGACTTGATTGGTTTAAGACATGGTTACATAATGAAACTCCTTGGATGGTTAAGTTTTAGCAAACTCCCCTACAATTTTAATTTAGGCAATTAGGAAATCCATTGAGGATGTTCAATATAGGAGTGAGAAGTTATGGTATTCTGTACTAACTGCCAGACAGGAAATAGTACAGTTTGAGAGGTGGTAGAAATAAGTTCTGGTGATGCTCAGAGACAATCACTTGATTATTTTAGAAGGAGGGAAATGGCAAAAGAAATTCATAGGAAGATGTCCACATAATCAAATGCTCTGCTGTGTAGGGGCACTTCTTGTTCTGTGTGGATTCTTCTTACAGTGACACACACAACTCACAGGATTTTCAGAAGCCAGACTCTAAAATTCCATAATTCCCAGATGTTCTCTGTTGGTACAACTCCGTTCAACCCTAATCTGCTGTCTTTTTCTCTGCCCCCAGGCTATTCTCAAAAGATATAAGGTCAATTTAATTCAATCGAACTGATTTGACCCATTTGTGTTTATTGATTGTTTAGTCACTGATTAAGGACTTCACTCTCCTACCTGCTGCCCTTCCTCATTACCTGAGTTCCTTTCCTCAGAAATGCTAAGAGTCTGAGTCACTCATTTCTGGTCGGTAGGATAGGCACCTGCCTCTGGAGGAATGCCGGATGGGTCAAGTTGTTAAGCTGCCTTGAGCAAGTGTGGTTCCCTTCTCTGTTCCCCATGTTTGTTTATGGAATGAAATCAGAGCTGAGTTCAGTTTCTCTCTTGTTTGCTTGTAGAAGGTGATTTTGTTGAAGTTAATAAACTAAAACTTTGTTTTTATTCCTAGAAGAGAAGAGATCTAAACATAATATTACTTCATTATTTTCTCAAAATGATGGCATATAGCTATTTTCTACCAGTTAATTAACCCTCTTGGCTGCTGTTCCAGCTTTCTTCAGCAAAGAGCATTGTGAACCTTGCAATTCTCTGGATTGCCTGAATCTGGTCAGTCATGAGTTCTAAGACCCTGTAAGTTTTGTTAGTTTTCTGAGTCTTATGAAAGTTCCTCCTCTCTGAAGGAAGGAATATTACAACTTCAAGGAAATCATTAAAGCATGGATGAAATGCTTGCTTTCTCTCCACCAACATGGACGGTAGTGAAAGCTGAGAAAGAAGACTCTCAGGTAGCAATATCTGCCAATTGTCTAGGGGCCCAAGACTGACTTCGTTTGAGTCATCGAGCATGCTGCTGTGGGTCTTTAAAGAGCGTAGCTGCCCTTGAGTGACATATGACACTGTAAGTAAACTCAAGTGTGTATTCCTGTAGGTAGCTTCAGTAAATGTACTGGTTCACAAAACTAGGCATTTGTGAACTTTTATGTTTATCGTTTGTTTATCTGTCATTAGTATTTTATCTGGTACAAATAGATGGGTGTTTCATCTTCCTAGCAAAGTTTCATAACAAGTAGATAGAGAAGAGACTAAAGATGAATTACCTTGGCTGCTCTGGGCTCTGGCAAATCAATGAATGATAAGGTGTACACCTTGGGTGGAACCATGTACTTTGTGGCCAGAAAGCAAAGGCAGAGGAAAATACTGAGACCCCGAGATCTCCTTTGGTGACAATGTGCCACCAATGACCTAAGGCTCTCCCACTAATACCATTTTCCAAATATTTTGCATCTCTTTAAAAGCACTGGCCTGGGGACACATAACTTTTGTGGGGGCTATAGAAGGAGTTATGTGATACAGTTACTGGATAGATCACAAAGAACAAAAGTGTAGCTTCCATGGTTGCCTTAGAAACTTGCCTCCTCTCTGAGGTGCCCAGTTAGCCTCCCTTCATGCTCTCCACTCACCTTGTTAATGAGGTCTAAGCCATGGCATTCTGATACTGGAAACTTCCATGTGATCCAGTGACTAAATCAAAAGAGAAGAAAGGCTTATAGATGATTTGTAGAGCATCTGAGCTGGTATTTACTGAACTTTATTACTTCAATAAAGTTCCACAGAAGATGCATAGTTACTTAGACAGAACTGATGACTCCAGGTAACAAATCACATGTGTAATTCCTGTATCCTTGCAACCATGCTTTCGGGTAAAACTCGAGGTAGAAACAACAATGAATAGAAGTGATCATGTCTGAAATATTTTGAAGAGCTAATTATAATAAATAGTTACATTTTATTTATTATTTATTTTCTTGCAGGTTCTGGTCAAAGGTTTTATGTCATGTTTCTTTTAAGTCAGATGATGTAGTTATCTTCATATCCATTACATAAGAGTTGAGTTATTAAATAGTTAAATAGCTCCTGATATTTTCAGAGCTTACAAGGCCCACTCACTTGGTTCAAACCCAAGGCCCAGATAGGTCTGATACATACTCAAAACCCTTTGCATACTACATCTGAGATAAGAAGACATTCTACAAGTTATTGTTCAAGGCTGAACATTTATATCTGAAAATGATACTGTTTGAAGAGTTTTGGAGTGATGCTTGGAAAAGACAATCTGTATAGCAATTTTT